AAACTACTCAAACAAACTCACCTACATATTGGATGGTCTGATGGTGAGTGCATTTTCAGCAAATTTATTTTCCCGCAAGTGATGCAATGCTAAATTTATCCAAATCTGTTCCCATGAAGAAACAAACTCATCTACATCTTGGATGGCGTGAGGATGAGTACATTTTTAGCCAATTTTTTATTTTTGTTTAAACTATTACTTTAATGCAAACATATGCTCTTACAGCTTTCACTAGTACTCACATCTACTAAGTTGTTAAAACACTAAACACAGAAAGAGGTGATTATGACCAAAAACGTGCTACAGAGAGCCCTTTTTGATCAGGCAGTAATGTAATGCACTCTGGCCCTGAAGGAATGGCATGTTGTCGTAAAACGCTCTTGACTTGGTAAATAGTGGTCCTCAAAGAAAACTGTAAAGGATGAGAATTTACAAGAATGTGGCACCAACACATTGCATCCGTAAAATGGTTTTAGTTGTTTTTGACTGTGTGGGGCTGCTGTTCCACCATCTGCAGATAAAAAGGTACCATGTTATTTTACAGTTCTCAAATAACAAACATTTCCTTGAACTCAGTTACAGTGTTCTGTATCACACAAAGCCATCTGTTTTCCAGTGTATCAGGCCACAGTACATACCAAAACATGTTGGTATTTTAGTCAGCGATAATTTGCATGCATTGGGGTTTCTTTCATTGCATGTTAATAAGGAACAAATTAAAATATTCATCTCAAAATGTTTCCATTCTGTAATTATTAAAGGAATAGTTCACCCAAAAATAAAAATGTACTCACCTTTAGGCTATTCAAGGTATAAATGAGTTTTTACAGTGAATGGGTGCCGTCAGAATGAGAGTCCAAAAACCTGATAAAAACATCAAAATAATTCACAAGCAATCAATTAACCAGTAGTAATCCACAAATCCATCAATTAAAATCTTGAGAAGCAAAAAGCTGCATGTTCGCAATAAATTAATTCATTATTAAGATGTTTTTAACTTAAACTGTTTTGTTGGGCTATGAGTTCTCTGTTCATCATGTTGCTTTCTCCAATGAAAAGTTAATCTCGTCTGAATCGGGAGAGAAATATGCACAGATCAAGCACTGTTTACAAGCAAAAACAATTCTAAACAAATATGTGGGTGGATTTTAACATGACAGGACAACGGGGGGGGGGACTCTTTCACTGGAGGAAGTGTTATTATGGATTATGGATTTGTATTTTGGTTAGAAGTAACGGTTTAAAGTTAAAATGTCTTGATGGATTTGTTTATTACAAACAAACAGCATTTTGCTTCAAACTACGCTAATTGTTGGACTGAGGATGTGTGAATTACTTGTGAATTATTGTGATGTTTTTATCAGCAGTTTTGAATCTCATTCTGACGGCACCCATTCACTGCAGGATCCATTGGTGAGCAAGTGATGTAATGCTATAATTCTCCAAATCTGTTTCAATGAAGAAACAAACTCATCTGTATCTCTGATGGTCTGAAGGTCAGTACATTTTCAGCAAATTTTCATTTTTTGGGTGAACTATTCCTTTAATAAGCAATGATCGTTATTATAGCATATTGCATTAACAATTAGTAAGGAATACTTACACTGACCTGAAATGGATCACATGGGAACTTATAGGGGAAACACTTGCTGTTTCTCCTCAACAGTAATGTAATTTTTTTTCCTCTATAATGATTATATGTTTCTGCGTTTTTACCTCTGGTCTAGTTTGTTTACTCATCTAAAATATTTAGGCTAATGCTATTGTGTGCTATGAATATCTTTGGCTTTATAATAAATTGTTTGTAATGTTCCTCATTTGTATAAAAGCATTTTCTAAATGAATGTTAATGTACATACAAATATCACTGTTGTTGAGTTGTGCACACAAAGTGTTGATATCCATGTGTGCCTGCCTGACACTCATGCAGCTCATGATCTTATACTGATTAGAAACACTTCACATACTGTATGTCTGTCACAGTGCACTACGAAGGAGATCCAGAACAGAAATACTCTTTAATTAAACCAAAATAACAGGGAACACACACGTAGCACATGGGGTAGACATTTAAGACTGAACGCCGGACTCAGGAAAACACAGAGCTTAAATACAGGAACTAAATGGGGAAGACCTGGAACTAAACGAGGAGGATGGACACAAATGAAACAAATGGAACTCAAATGGGAACAGGAACAGGAAAACCAAATATGGGCACAAACACGGGAGAAACTGGGTCAAGGAGAGAACATGAGGAACAAAACACAAGACTGTCCATGGGCGTTACATTATCCCCCCCGCGCCATAACAATTCCACCGGGGAGGGGGGGGCGGGCGCCCTGGAGGCTGGTGCAGGACGGGGACAAGGAAGGCCTCCAGGGCGGATCAGGCAGTTCAGGGGACCATGGCGGATCAGGGGAGAAGGGTGTTCCTTCCTAGGACCGCATTTCTAGGACCCTAGTTGTTTTGTAACAGCGCCACCTACCGAATTGGATCACCAATAACACTAATATAAGATGGACGACATGGACAGCAATCAGAGTGTGTAACGTTACCGATTTTCAATTAAGTTTTAGCTTACTGTAGCTTACTGTATTAGTGTGAAAACTTGTTTAATACTCATTGTTTTACCATGTTAGTTAAGTATAAATCATCTTTCATAATTAAACTGCGCTGACTGCTTGGTTGCACCACAGTAAGTGTTATTAGCCTGTCATTTTGGCAGTACTTTAGATTAATCTTGTTGACGTTTGAAAGGCATGGTCAGCGGTTTGCCTTCTGGACTGATGAGGCCAGAATCTTGCTTCAAGGAACTCTTCAGCCAGTGTACAGAGTTCTATCTCTGAGGAAATCCACATCCAGGTTGTTGATGACCGCACCGCAGAGGAAAAGAGACTGCTGGGCTTCATTGTAAAATTACAGGGATCTGAGGAGCATTTGGTGGTACTTTCATATTATTGTTCATATTATTCATCATTACAGACTAACTCATAGTAAAGGTTCACCAAGGACCTTAATTAGTAATAACATTAACAGTATCTTTTAACTATGCTGCAAATTATTGTATCTTTATCTTAAGTGTATCAATTTCCTCAAAATAACTGTTTTTGCACCATGGTTTGTCCATAGGGTGTACTCAACAGGACACCCTCTAAGTGGTTTCATAAGCTAACCTCTCCCATTCCGGGTGCCTGTCTACCTCGACAGTGAGGAACAACTGTCCTGTTTGCCTATCTGAGAGGAGTGCTGCATAGGACACCAACACAACTGAGCTTCACAGATGAAGTGCAGTTCATCTGTGGTGCTCTTTTTCCAGAGGTATGCCTGACCATGTAATGTGTTTGTGAGTGTCCTGGTCCTGCACTTACAAAATCTACTGTATAAACTGCATACTGGTGCTACTCGTGTATGGACCAATGTATAATGGCTTGCTGTTCAGTAGTGCTAGTATACTTAAATTAACAGTTTTTTCATAGGCCATCATATATGCCCTGGCTGTCCTAATTAGTTACTTTTTTTTCACATTTATATAGTGCTTTTCTGGGTACTCAAAGCACTTTACATGAAAGCGGGGGAATCTCCTCAACTCACTCCTACCTAATTTCGCCTTGCAGGAGGCTGAGCAGGTCTTCCTTTCTGGTCCGAATTATCATTACAGGTCAGAGTAGAATAGGAATTATTTTTGCACAATGCCCAGTGCACCCTTTTGTTACTGATATTTCTGTTAACCCAACAGTGATTGTTCTCTGATAACTATTTCAGTAAAGTGGAAGATTTTAATAGAAAGATTGACGGTAACACTTTCTATGAAGCCTGTATTTATAATACATTATAAGAGTATTTTTAAGGCATTATAATGAATGAATAATGCATTATGAAATACTTTATATTATGTTGTATCATCTCATAAATAATCAGAACAGTTTTAATGTATTATAATACTTATCTGTGGTTAAGTGTATGATGATTTAGAACACACAATGAACACGTTGCATCCACTTAAGTTACAATGGATTATATTTATCATAGTTATAATAGATTATGTTTCATATCTTGCCATTGTTTAAGATCTGCACAATAGCTTAGTACATCTTAGTGTTTTTACTGTAAAATAACAAATACAAAGTCTTCATGAAAACTCCAAAATGCTTTAATGTGGTCTTATTATTTATAAGTGGTCGTTGTCTGCTTTAAGTAAAGTAACATCACTTTACTTAAAGCAGACAAAGGCCACTTATAAATAATAATAATAATAATAATAATATTTTTTTCTCAAACAGCCATAAGATCAGATAAACGTGTACACATTTGCTTTGAACAATTTTTAATGTAATATCAGTTTGATTATTTTGATGGTACCCTTTAGACAACTGTTGATAAATAACTTTGCAACTACATGTCAACTAGCAGTCATTGGAGTATAAGTAGTATGTCTGATAAATATATGCTAACACTTTATTTAGATGGTTCCCCATTAACAGACATTCTACTGACTATAAGCAGCTTTGCAAGTACATCAACTTATTCTACCAACCTTAACCTAAGCCTACTACTGTAATACGGCAGCCATCTCGGCTGGGGACTCAGGTGTGACGTGAGCAAACTCTGAAATGGTGGCCATGTCGTGACGAGACTCTGGATGATCAGCTAAGACGTGACGAGACTCTAGAAGAGCGGCCATTTTGTTTAGAGACTCTTGTGTGGCGGCCATCTTGCAATGAAGCTCTTCAATGGCGGCCATATTGTGAAGAATCTCCTGAGTAACCAGCATGACGTGAGCAGGCCCTGGGGTAGCAGACATGACGTTAGCAGACATGAATTGAACAGGTTCTGACTTGGTAGATATGACATGAGTAAACTTTGACTTAACTGGCATGGTCTGAGCAGGTCCTGGAGTAGCAGGCATGACGCGAGTAGGCTGTGGCTTGGCAGACATGACGTGAGAAGGCTGTGGCTTGGCAGGCATGACGTGAGCAGACTTTTGGGAAGTGTCATGTTCCTCCTCCACGACACCCACAGTGAATGGTGAATCAGCTAGCAACAGGGCAAAGTCAATGTACTTTTCTAATGACCAGTGTGGGGTATTACGTGGCATTAACCGTGGCATGTCCTTACTTAACCCATAACAGAAAATGTCTTTTAAGAAAGTATCATTGAAGTCCACTTGATAGTAAAGTTCACAAAAGTCTGCCACATATTCCTCAGAGTGATTACCTTGACGGAGGCGAACAAGATGATCTGCTGGATTCATAATGGTGGTCGTGTATTCTGTAACGAATCATCCACTGAAGGCGAGCGTA